GCAGTTTTAGGCACTTTCTGCTTCTGGGAATATATATACTGTGAAAAGTGATTACTCAAATTTGAAATTCACACATCGCAATAGAGCATTAATTTTTTTTTTTAAATCATGCAGAATTTCGTAGCAACAACCTTTAAAAAGGTGATCAAGAAACAAAATAAGACTTCCAATGAAATCTGTGCAAATCAAAATTTTTTAAGAAAAAAAAATTCATTGTGTTTAGAAGCTCCCAGGGGCTGCAGGTTATCAACCCAATTTATGCTAAAAAACATCACTGGAGTACAGAAATGTCCCCTAATAGTCTTCTTTTCTTGAAAATAGTTCCTTTTCAGGTAAAAAAAGTTACCATAGTCGCCTCGGGTCAAAAATAGTCGCCTGTGGCAAGCCGGAGAGATTTAAAAACGCTATTGAGTTCGTTCTCAGGTCTTCGGGCTGTCTGTAATTTCGCAGGTAACTGTTTTAACTGTGTTTGCAGATAACTGTTAACAGTTGTTGTCACTCTACAAAGACTTTTGATAGCTGTTCTAATCGGGAGATGCATCACAGAACCTTATCAAATTCTTGCCCAGGAATAGTTACTGTCAACCACATATTGATCAGAACTTTTTTGTATTTCAATTGAATAAATCGTTCTAGAATGTCTAAAAGATAACATATGATTGTAACAATGTCACAATCATATGTTAGAGTTAGCATATTGTTCGAGCTGCGAGATAAACTTAATTTACAAATTATCATTTAGGTTTAAATTTCGAAGTTGGTATATTGTTAACAAAGTAAGAAGTGTTTTATAACAATTCTGTTTCCAAATGACAATTCTTTTATCTTGAAATGACAGATCTACATGTATACAAGAAATACTACTCAAGAGAGTTTCAAAACACAATGATAACATTGTATGCCAAATGTCTTCAAAACACACAAAAAACAGTAACACAATAGTATAGGCAGTCAAGACCTTGCAGCGCTCCCTAGTGTAAAAAACACTATCCATAGTTATTTTTTTAATTTTTCCTTTGCGTAATTTTGCTGAGTCTCATTTTAAAGGGGATCTTTTAAATATTTTGCACACTTTTTTGATTAGAGAATCAACATTAGGCAAAAAGTAAAATAGCTCTTTTTCCACATTCGTATTCCTAGTTTTTTCCAACATCTGCCTCTAGAAATGAGAGTTTAGTGACCCAGACATAAATAAACAACATTCAGAGTTTCAAAAATGAAAAATTCTTTTAGTTTTTGAATTTCTGATTAGCAGACTATCTACGATTTTTAATACTGTTTTATTAGGTGGAATAGAGCTAACAAATAAAAACACAGATAGCTACATCATAGTTGCCAACATGGATAGGAAAAAATACTGTAGATTTTACAAAACATAAATTTCATGATAATTGATGCATAATGAACTAATTATTAAATAAATAATTTTATAAAAAAATAAATAATATTAAAGTCATCAAAATAGAAAAACTGCAATATTTTCCAGTAATGATTGACATTAAATAAGTATACTTTAAATGTTATGTATAGCTCATAATTTTGAATAATAATAGGAATTTAATTCATCTTATTTAATTTAAAAAGAAATTTTCGAATAAAAAAAAACGGAAAACTTTAGAACAAAAAAAGTTTTAAACTTATTTCTATAAATGAGGCATGCTTCGTTATGTATTAGAAATACCTTTTCAAATATTCAAACAAGCAAAAATGCGTGCAAAAATTCTATTTTCAAGAGGGATTTTTTAAGAAAATTTACTCAATTTTAAGGAATTTAATAAAATGTACAAAAACCAGAAGAATTTTTATTAAAACTGTAGATCAGGAGAAACTGGCAAAATCCAGTAGAGTTGGCAGCTATGCTATATTTTTAGAAATAGTTATTACAATTATATTTTTTCAGTTTGCTTCCTTTACATTTACTCAAAAATGTTTAACTAATTACATACAACAAATTAAAAGCATAGATGCTTATAATAAAATATAGAGTTCATTGGTTTGACTCGAATTATCAATCTTTAAATTAAAAAGAAAAAAAAATCCAGAAACCATGAGTTTTGAAATAATTGACATGAATTCTATACGAGTTGAGTAAAAAGATATAACTCTTCTATGCACCATAATATTAATTTATACGTACCTAAATAGTACAAAGAAGCCATATATTTCTATAATCATTCCCACAAGTGGCCATCCAAATAATACAATAAAAATTCCTCCAAAGAAAGCTGCAGAGCCTCGGATTTTATGCCTCTGAAAGAAGAACCTGAAAGTTCTTTCATAGCCAATAACAAATGACAAGCCACACAGAAAAAGTATCTGAAAAACAAAATTTTCATTTATAAAAGTCATTTATGAGGAATATAAAACAAAAATATTAAATCTTCTAATTATGTCTCTTATTTATTCATTTTTGTTTTGTTTTAATGCTATTACTTAGATTAAACATTAATTTTCTGATTTTCCAGAAAGAAAAAGTATTTAACTACTTGAAATTTAACAAACTTCGAATAATTTTTTCGATAAAAATTTTCAACCGATTTATCTTTCATTATTAAACTTTTTTAAAAGCTAAAATAATTTGCACATCTATAGTTTGCTATAAATTATAATACAAAATTTTTATATATAATTATTTACACAATTTTGACAAAAACATATAGTAATAAAGGAAGATTAGTACGTGTTTGCAAATACAAAGAATGAGAATTACTAATGAGAATAGACAAGCTGGGATTTCCTTTATAATATGTCAATACAGATTATTGATGTTTTGCTTTATAATATTTCTTGCAGAAAAATGTAAAAGCTGTAAACTTTTTCAGAAAAAAAGGGCAAATATTCATTTCTTAATCATAATTATTATACATAATAACAATCATAAAATAATATATGTAATAAATAAAAATATGACATTAAGAACAATAAGACAGTAAAATAATAATACAGTAATATTTATTATAAAATTATTAAACTGTATAAAAATATACTTAATTATTTTCATTGTAACAAGATAAAAACTATTTCATAAAAAAAGTGAAAGAATTACAAAGATATCCCTATTTGCAAGTATTAAAAAAATATCTTAAAGAAATAAACTTTCAACTTCTATAGATTTTTTAAATGCCCAGGAATGTACATTTCCGTAATATTTTGTGTAGTAAACAAATTATTAACAATTTATAAGGTAACTTGAGCAAAAAACTAACATAATCAGTATGTTATTAGAAGTGTATACATACATTTCCTAGTGCTAAAAGTCCTTTGTCAAATATAAAGACAACTCCAAGAAACAGGAAAAAAAGTCCAAACCCTGTTAATCCAATTCCTATTTCTAAATATCAGGAAAGATAAAAAAAAGAATGAATTTATATTTCTAAATAAAAAAAGAAATAATTGCACATTAATTAAAAACATTATAATATTAATTAGATATTTTTGTAATTATATTTTATTATATTTTACTACGATAATATTACAATTCAATAGTAGGTAAACATAAAATTTCTAATAATATAGCAAAATATACATTTTATAATAATTAATTTAAACAAATTAAAATATTACATTTTTGCGACAATCAGGCAGCGGATAGCGAGAAATTTAATACGTTACAAAAAGTGAGTAACTTAATAGAATAACTGTAGCCACTTCTGGACAAACCACCACATATAATATATAATTCACATTTTGCTAAACACAATAATCCTTTGGCACCTTGGTGACAGTAGTTGGTGTAAACAGATACTGATAGAGAAATAATCCCTCAATAGGTCCTCATATGTTAAAATAAACATAAAAACTCACGTGTTAATATAAACAATATATATAAAAGACATTGTTGATAACTTACTCATGAAAAATTTTACATTATCAAATAGCTCAATAAAAGGTAACATAGCCGTCTTAATAGCAAGCAGGGCCTCCAGGAACAGAAATGTTTTTGGCCCTTATATTGTGTTATACTATTCAGTGTTTTCATTACAGAGCGAGAATCTCGCATATTTTTTTCTCTTCTCGCATTAAAAAATGATTACAGCGAGAAATTTGCGCATTCTGTAAATCAACTCCAAAATTCCCGAATTTCTCGCATTTTAGAAAAAGCTTCGAATTACGCCATTTAGAATAAAATCCATTTCACTTTTCTTCCTGGATTTTTCATTATTTTCAACATCTGCCTCATTATCTAGCCTCCCTATTTACCAATATTCTTCATAAATTTTTCGAACAACAGAACACAACCACGGAACCCCTTTCAGAACATATTTCTCTGCAACCACATGTTTACCGTAGGTAAGGTTTTGGGGTAAATTTAATTTTAGACTATGTCAACCTTCATCTATCAAAAGGTACCTCATGATAGAGTCAAGTTAACATGTTTTATATACTAGAGAATTGGTATTTAATGTTTATAGTGGTAGTTACGCCACAGTTTCTTCAAGTAAGACGTTCAAATTTTTTATGCACTTATGTAAGATGGACAAATACCTTGTAAAGGCAAAATCTTCTATGATGATGCACCAAAAATATTCAATGCTTTGAAAAATAGAAGACGTTAAAAATGTATTATAATTAAAGAAATGATTTTTTTTTCAAGAGTTTTTGTGCTTTTTTAGTTTTTAGAAACCTCTCCCTGCTTCTGAGAAAGGGTGGGTTCTGGGGTGCAGGAGCAGATGTTCCGGTTAGGTGGTCAACCGAAAGTGAAACCCTCAGTGTTTAGTTCACAAGTTTGCTTGGTACTTATTTATCGACCCACTGAAGGAACGAAAAGCTGAGTCAACTTTGCATGGTCCAAGGATCGAACCCAGGACCTGTGGCACGGGAGTGCAAAGCGCTATCACTCAGCCACCAGGCATCTTTTTTTAAAAAAAAAAATTATAAAAAGTAAGATTCTCGACGGCCCCTTAAGTGCCAGGGGCCTGCGGTCACTGCCTGGATCTGCCCATGCGTAAAGAAAGTACTAAAAGAGAACCATGTCTAGACAACAATGGTGACCCTTTTTGGTCATAAGTACCAGTTGATAAGGAAATCTTTCATTTTTTAATTAGTTAAAATATGGAATTTGATATCATATTTTAAAATTATTAATGTATATCTAAATAGCAATGCAATAGAAAAAAAAACATTAAACTTTGCATATTTATAAGAAGACCAGCAAGTAAAACAATTTTCATGTTAGAATAACAGAGATTTGAATGATTGGAATGATTACTTTTGTTGCACTAACGATCACATGAAATTTAATCGTTAGATAACACTTAGATTTAAAGATGCAAAGAAAGTTATTGCACAAGATATTAGAATTTACTCTGAAAACACGACTGACATTTAACATGACAGTAATTTTTACTCCTCTCACAATTTTCTTGGAAACAAGGTTAATAAATTATAAATAGTAGCTGATTAATCTAANGCATAAAAGTTTCACATCAGAAACCGGTGGGGTCTGATGTGAGAAAATTCATTACTCTTACTTTGAAAATCTGTAATTTCAAACATTTTATATCTCAAATAATTTTCAGAGAAACAAAGTTAATCAATGTAACTGAATATGCACTGTCACTCCATAGCGAACATTACAAGAGCAAAAGGAATTTTTAAATTTCCACGTCATCCCAAAACAACAAACATATTAGCAAGACGCCATATTGAATTTGTCACCCATACTCTTATAAACTCTACACCAATATCGTGATTGTTATCTGGTTTTACATAATTTTATAGTTCGTAAAATACAACTCAGTTTTTAACATTCATATAAATCGAAGCATATATTATACTTAAAACTGAATAAATCGAAGCAACTTTGGGAGCAAAAAGTTTTTTTGGAATATTCGCGATGATAAAGTTACTTTTACGAAACTAGAAAAATCTTTTTCTACAGTATTATCAGTGTCGCCATCTAACGGATTAAATTATAACTGCATATATTTTAATCATGAAAGGAATATTTTTTATTATATATTTTTGTTTTATTCACTATTTCTTAAAAAATAAAGTGCAAGCGCCTATTAATTTATGTGTCCTTATTTAAAAAATATTAAATGAAATATTTATTGTATTAACAATAAAATAGCTGCAGTGTAGTGTGTTTTAATCGTTTTAATTACGCCACTCTGTCTATAAAACCAAAAAAATAAAATTAAAAAATAAATAAATAAAGACCCTAAATGTTTTAGAGAGAGTCTTGTAATTTCGTTATTTTACATTTCCACAAATCAACATAACTGTTTTATATATATGTCAATTTATTGGACTTTTCTATACGAATGGAAACATATTTCAGCTTATAATAAATAGATGGCGCCACAATTTAAAAATACATTAATTCTGATTGACATTGAGGAAGTTTACTGCAGAAGAAATTTTAGAATGTAAATAAAAATTTTCACATTACATTTAATTGTATTCACATTAAATTTTATAGTATTTACATAAAATTTTATTATATCTTTTTGTTCTAAAAATATTACATTGTATATATCATTATTACATTACAAATATTTCATTACATTATTATCATTACTTTTATTGATTATAATAATCTGAAGTTCCATATCTATTCAAATTATCCTACTTTTTTTTATCGTAACCTCTATCATGTAATAAATCACCATTTAAACCTTTATATTATTTATCAAACATGATTAATAGAAATCGGTCATCCTGGAAAAAAGAAGTTTAATTTCGTTATAAATGTTATTATGCTTGTTAAAAACCAATTGTTATGACAGTTCTGCTAAAATAATAGATAAAAAAAAATATTATAAAAAAAAAATTCAAATTTTATGAAAAACAAGTGAAATATAATGCAAAAAATTTAAAATTAAGACTAAAAAAGTATTCATTTTCCATTTTTTCATAATTATAATCATCAACAAGCATTATAACTATCATTTTGGCAACTTTTTGATTTTTCAGTTTCTTCATTTTAAATTCGTATTTTAATTTTAAGAAAAAGAGGGTTCATAAGAATGAAATTTAGAGTTTTCTTTTTTTCCTAATAACCGCCTTTCAACACTTTTTATTTTTTCGAGCAATCAAACTGGTTTTCTGTTTACAGCCTTTCTCAGAAATTATTAGCAGAAGTCGATAACGCTTTTATTTTTCAAAAATGATTATAATAAAAATGTTATATACTGGTCATTTAAATTGCTACACGGGGAAGAAATGCAAACAGAACAGAACATTGTTATTTTTTTGGACATACGCATTGTGGTGAAAAGAACAAATGATTACATTTAAAAAAAATTAGAACCTGAGAAATCAGTACCCAGAATAGAGCTCAGTCTGGTAACAATAGCAACACTTATCTGTTCGAGCATGGAATCAAATGGAGATAGTTTTATTTTTATAACGGTCGTGACCCAATTCTGAGTTTACCACAATCAAAGTTCGAAAACTGTAGCCATGTAATTTTGAACCCAATGCAGAAGACAAGGAAACAGCAGGATCAAGCATTGGGGACAAATTAGTCTTCGTGGAGGATTTCTAGATGAAACTAACCTGCATTTACTTAACATGGAGAAGAAAACCACGAAAGCCTCCCACGGTTTGCCCGATGACAAGGGGATTCTCACACATGATCCGTCTATCACGGAGAATATTCTACGTTAGCACTGTGGTCGGTGTGAGCTGGGAAGCAGAATTCGTACCGACCACCCTCATTGGGTGGCAAGCGCTCTATCTTCTGAGCCATCACAGCTCCTACGGATATTTTATTTATGATATTTTATTTCCATCGTTGAACAGCCAACCCTAATTTTCGGGTTGACGCCTAATGTTCAACTCCGTAGCCTTATAATTTTTAATTCAATCCCGAAGACAAGGGAACTCCTGGATCAAGTATTGGGAGAAATTTGCTTTCGGGGAGGACTTTTTGATTGAACTAACCCGCATTTGCGTTACATGGAGAGGAAGACCACGAGAACCTCCCACGATTAGAGTGACGGCAAGGAGAATCTAACCGATGATCCGTCTACCAATGAGGATATTTCACATCAGCACTGTGGTCGATGCAAGTCGGATACTCAATTCGTATCGACCTGCCATTTCTGGGATTCGAACCAGGTACATCTCATTGGAAGGTGAACGCGCTTCGCCCTGAGCCATCCCCGCTCCTCTGCCGATATTGTAAGACATTTAAGATGACCCCACTAATTACAGCGTCAACATAATCAACTCAGTTCATCGACAATAGTGAACGGTGAGTGGTGGTTCGTCAATCACTCGGCAACCATTGATGACATATTTTTTATTGGTGAGAGATGAGAAGAACGGAGTGGCCGCCTCCCTGACAAAAGCTAACGGTTCGAACACCTTTTGTATCAAGAAATTCCAAAACATTACATGGTATTCGGCTGTGCATTGTCATGCTAATATATAGTTTTAGAGACTTCGAAGATTGGGTAGGTCCGAGGGACTTAAGAGGATGTTATACAGCTGGAGAAATGCTTCATTGCAAATTCTGTTTCACCTCCGTTGGTATTTCGAGAGAAAAGAGAGTTCAGGGAAACCTAGAATAAACTGTGAAATTTCAACTGTAGAAATTTTTTCCAGTTTTTATTACATATTAAGCTTTTATCCAGTGCGTAATCATGAGTAATCACATCATTATATGTTTGTAGAATTAGATTTACACCATTTTAAATTTACTCTAAGTTTACCTGAATCCACTTTTTTATTCCTAGCTTGTTTGCTTTATTTTGTTTTTTATTTTTATTTTTATTTTACATTTGTTGCTTGATAAGTTCTATTTTCGTTTCAATTCCTTTTTTGTGCTTCTCACACTATTGTATTGAAATGTTTTGCTTTGGTTATATTAATACAATATTTAAAAGCACTATTCTTTCAGATATAATCGCGTGAGCTTATGATGGGAATATAGCTTTTCTTTTTATTTTATTTTCCAATTTTTTTAAAAAATTTTTTAACAATTTTTTATTTTCCTTTTCTTGTTTTCTCTGTTAATATATAGCACAATAAAAACAAGAAGGATAAAAAGAAAAAAAAAGAAAAATGAAGAAAATCAAGGAAATAGAAATAAGTTTTATTTACTGCGCATAAACTGCAAGTATATAGAACTCATAAAATAAGTTTAAAAAATATATAGAGAAAACATGAAAAAAAAAATAATGAAGATTAAGTACTAATATTATCAGAAGTACAAACAGTTTGAAATTTTTTAAACTTCTACGATTCCAATTAAAAACATTTTCTATGTTCAAACAACTTCAGAATGTTTCCGAGTACGAAAAATTTGAAAGTTTTTGTAAGTCAAAACAATTTGAAAGCTATTTTAAGTACCAATAACATCAGAAATTTTCTAAGTGCAAACTTGACTCATCATCTTACATACGAAAATCTTTAGCCTGGCCTTCTAAATTTAAAAGACCATTTTCTTTCGTTCATTCCATCATCTTGCATTCGAAATTCATTTACTCGTCCAATCATGGGATATATACATTGGAAACAAAGTTTCAACGTCTTATTCTTCGAATACATGACGTCCTCTGACCTGGCATGTTGCTTCTCAAAAGCTTTTAGCTTAACATGTATCATTCGGAATTTCTTCACTTGATCAATCATTCTGCATTCGGATTACATTATCTTAAATTTTTTTTAATTTTATTTCATAATCGTCGTTGAACAGTGGACCCAATTTTGAGTTCACGACTACCAATGCTCAACTCCGTAGTCTTGTAATTTTTAACCCACTCCAGAAGACAAGGGAACTCCTAAATCAAGTATTGGGATAAATTTGTCTTCGTGAAGGACGACAGCTAGCCTGATGGCAAAGGGACTCTAACCCATGATCCGTCTACCACTACGGATATTTTACGTCAGCAATGTGGTCGGTGCGAGCCGGGTGCGGAATTCGTATAAACTAGCTCTAGATGGGATTCGATCCCGGGGCACCTCATTGGGATCCGAGAGCTCTATTCCCAGATCCTCCACGGCTTATCATCTTGCATTCGAAATTTTTTGCTTGACCCATCATCATGCATCAGGAATTTTCTTTCGCTTAGCCAATTATCTTACATTATGAGTTCCTTCTCTTGAACAATCATCTTACATTCGAAAATTTTTCTCTTGACACTTCCTCTTACATTATGAATTCATTATCTAGACTCATCATTTTACATTCGGAATTCTTCCATTTGACCAATCATCGTACCTTCGGAATTCCTTCTCGCGATCCGTCATTTTTCATTTAGAATTCATTTTCTTGATCCATCATCTAACATTTGGAATTCTTTCGATTGGTCCGCCATTATCTTACATTCGCAATTCTTTCGCTTGACCCATTATCTTACACTCGAAAATTTTTCGCTTTATCAATCCTTTTAACTTCGGAATTTAGTTGCACCTTATTTAATATTAACATCAACGACTTAATTTCTATCTTAAGATCTATCCCTGGTGTGAGATGTCTTTTGTATGCCGACGACCTGGTCATCTGGACTGCCCCCACTAAAAAGCAGGCTAGGCAGTCTGTTGAATCCAAGCTTACTACTGCTTTGAGCGCACTGGAAAATCGGTGTTATGCAAACAATATGGAAGTCAATCTAAATAAAACATTTTATCAGTCTTTCTCGCTTATGCACCAGCCTTTAAGTCCACAACTCTTTCACAAAGAGATATTAATCCCCGAATGTGATAAATCCACGTACTTGGGGTTAAGCTTTGACCATAATCTTACGTGAAAGCACCAAGTTGAAGCCATTAACAGCCGTGTCTCAGGGTTGCTCCAGACAAACTTTACTTCAAACTTACCATACCTTTATACTTTACTTCCACTAATAACCTATTGCTGTGAATCACTCATTTCAGCTGGGGATAAAGTCATTAACTCCTTAGAAATAATCCAAAACCAGGCCTTCCGTATAATCACCGGAGCTGTCAAGACTACCCCCATTGAGGCTATGCTGTTGCTAACAGGGTGCCGGCCTTTAAGGTCAATAATCCAGGAGAAGGCCCTTCTCTTATGGGAGAAGATGATTAAAGTGTCTGGGTGTCTCTCATTCTGGAACGAAGTCAACTTTGACTTGACACGAAATTTAAAGACCCAGCAAGGATTTCTACAAGGGGTTCTCGAGCTGAAGAATTCCCATAACTTGAACCCCGAACCAGAATTTATTATACCACCACAGAACCCAACTACAATGAGGCTCTTTAAGGTTAATCTTGATTTGTGTCAACAAAAAAAAATACTGATACTACCATCTTGAAATCCCTGGCTTATGAAGCAATAAACAATTACTATCCTGAAGATCTCTGGCTTCACAGACGGCTCTCTATTCTCCAACTGTAATAATGCAGGGGCAGGAATCTCCTCAAAATTATTTTCATTTTACACTTCTGTGGGACAAGGAACTGCATTTGATGGTGAAATAACCGCTATTCGAGCTGCTCTGTCTCAAATTCACTGTCACCTTGACCATATTACAAGAGCAGTTATTTTTTGTGGCTCTATGGCCGCACTTCGGAATTGATGTCTTGAAGACTTCAAGACATCAATTCCTCTGACGATCCCCAAACCCTTGAAGTCATGGACTGCCGACGACTCCTTCGAAGCCTTGAGTCACACAGGAAGAACATTGTCCTTCAGTGGATACCCTCCCACTGCGGAGTTGTGGGAAACGATCTTTTGCAGATCTTTTGGCCAAGAAGGGTGCCTCAATTATTGAAATTCCTTCCCACGCAATACCATTTTGTTCCATCAAGAAAATGGTGACAAATTGCATAAAAGACCATTCCTTCATGGACCTATCCAAAAGAGTGTCCGATAAACCTTGGAGGGATTTAGTCCCAAAATCCAACATTGGGCCAGGACGTAGAGCTGCGGCAGAATTTCGTCTGGCCACTGGACACGACTGTCTTCTTAAACACCTCAGCAGAATTAACATTGCTACTTCTCCCATCTGCACACTTTGTAACCTTGGGGAGGAAATGGATGCCGCCCATATTACTCACTGCCCTGCTTTGCGCAAGTCTTCTCCAGCCGAGCGATATTGGGAAGCCCGAGACCTTTTGAAGTATTGGACTCAAGTTACAGCATTATGTTTACCTTCTTTTATTGTATTTCACTTTTCTTACTGTGCTGTAACTACTGCTCAATAAATTTGCCATTGGAAATATAAAAAAAATTAAAAAAACTTTCGGAATTTATTCTGTTGACCTATCATTTTACATTTGGAATTAATACGCTTCATTAAACATTCAATCCGAATGTTTGATCAAGGAAGCAATCAAACAAAGCTCAAAATTAAAAGAAAGAAAATTTAAATGTACAATATAAAAGAAACACACAAGTTGAAGTGACCACGAAGAATTACTTTTCTTCCGTTTTGAAGCAAGAAAATGTTAAGAGTAAATGGATGCCTGAATTTCGTACATCTTGTTAAGTTCTCAGAACCGACGATACTTTGATATGGAAGAATCGATGCTAGTGCCCTCCCTTATGAGATACCTCCACAAGATCACTTTTTCTAGTTTTGACATCATGTTCTTCAATATTTTTAATTTGTCTCAGCTTTTGCTTGAAATCCCTGAGTAAGAGCCGCGATGGCCCAGGGGATAGAGTGTTCGCCTTCCAATGAGGTGAACGGGGTTCGAATCTCAGCAATCGCTGGTCGATACGAATTCCGCATCAGGCTTGCACCGACCACAACTCCGACGTAAAATACCATTAGTGGTAAACAGATTATGGATTAGAGACCCCATGTTTTCAGGGAAATCATGTGAAGTTTTCATGTTTTTCCTCTGCATGTGACGCAAAAGCGGGTTAGTTCCATCAAAAAGTCCACCACGAAGAAAAATTTCTCCCAATACTTGATCCAGGCTGTCCTTTGGATTGGGTTCAAAATTACAAGGCTACGCCGTGGAACTTTAGTAGTCTTAAACCCAAAAATTGGTCTGCTGCTCAACGATGGTTATAAAATAAAATAAAATATTTTGAAGAATTAAAAGCAAAAATAAATTAAAAGTAACATTAAAACTAAAAGTAAATAAATGTATGGGACCACAAGGTCTAACTGAAAATAGAATCTACATAAAAACGGAATTCTGTGTTATAGGGATTAAATTTCTTAATAAGAAAACAAAAAAAACTGATAATCCGTAACTGGGTAAATCTTACATTAGCCAGAAAAAACATTGCCAGAATCTGTAAAATCTCTTAATGTCCCTTCTTTCGAGGTGGATATGCCCCTCTTAATTCGTCTTTTCTCTCATTCTCTCGGAAGTTGTTGTTGTTGTTAATTTACGTCACACTAGAGCTGCACAATGGGCTATTGGCGACGGTCTGGGAAACATCCCGGAGGATGATTCGAAGACATGCCATCACAATTTTGATCCTCTGCGGGGGGCATGGAACCCCCGTTTTGGTAGCCCGACGACCTGCGCGCGAAGTCGAGCACTTTACGGTAGTACAGTTTAACGAGGACCAATACTTCCTACTGCCCTTTTTAATTCTTCCGTCTTCTCATTCCCTCTAAAGACTGAAATCCTAAAAGACAACCTTCTGCCATTGAAGACAGATTTCCTTTCCAGTCCCTACGAGAGAGAAATAAAAATGCCGCGCATTACACACCATCAAAGTTAAAGAATACAACTGAGATTTAATGCAAGTAATGTAAGTAAATCTTATATTACCTAGAAATAACATTGCCACAATATGTAACATCTCTTCCTCTCCCTTCCTTTCATTTTGGTTTACTTCTTATTCCTCTGCCCTTTTTAAATCTTCCGTCTTCTCATTCCCTCTGACGATTGAAATCCTAAACGACAACCCTTTGCCATTGCCCTTTGCCTTTGCCCTTTTTAAATCTTCCGTCTTCTCATTCCCTCTGACGATTGAAATCCTAAACGACAACCCTTTGTCATTGAAGATTGATTTCCTTTCCAGTCCCTACGAGAGAGAAATAAAAATGCCGCGCATTACACACCATCAAAGTTGAAGAGTACAACTGAGATTTAATGCAAGTAATGTAAGTAAATCTTATATTACCTAGAAATAACATTGCCACAATATGTAACATCTCTTCCTCTCCCTTCCTTTCATTTTGGTTTACTTCTTATTCCTCTGCCCTTTTCAATTCTTCCGTCTTCTCATTCCCTCTGACGATTGAAATCCTAAAATACAACCCTTTGCCATTGAAGACTGATTTCCTTTCCAGTCCCTACGAGAGAGAAATAAAAATGCCGCGCATTACACACCATCAAAGTTAAAGAATACAACTGAGATTTAATGCAAGTAATGTAAGTAAATCTTATATTACCTAGAAATAACATTGCCACAATATGTAACATCTCTTCCTCTCCCTTCCTTTCATTTTGGTTTACTTCTTATTCCTCTGCCCTTTTCAATTCTTCCGTCTTCTCATTCCCTCTGACGATTGAAATCCTAAAATACAACCCTTTGCCATTGAAGACTGATTTCCTTTCCAGTCCCTACGAGAGAGAAATAAAAATGCCGCGCATTACACACCATCAAAGTTAAAGAATACAACTGAGATTTAATGCAAGTAATGTAAGTAAATCTTATATTACCTAGAAATAACATTGCCACAATATGTAACATCTCTTCCTCTCCCTTCCTTTCATTTTGGTTTACTTCTTATTCCTCTGCCCTTTTCAATTCTTCCGTCTTCTCATTCCCTCTGACGATTGAAATCCTAAAATACAACCCTTTGCCATTGAAGACTGATTTCCTTTCCAGTCCCTACGAGAGAGAAATAAAAATGCCGCGCATTACACACCATCAAAGTTAAAGAATACAACTGAGATTTAATGCAAGTAATGTAAGTAAATCTTATATTACCTAGAAATAACATTGCCACAATATGTAACATCTCTTCCTCTCCCTTCCTTTCATTTTGGTTTACTTCTTATTCCTCTGCCCTTTTCAATTCTTCCGTCTTCTCATTCCCTCTGACGATTGAAATCCTAAAATACAACCCTTTGCCATTGAAGACTGATTTCCTTTCCAGTCCCTACGAGAGAGAAATAAAAATTCCGCCCATTACACACCATCAAAGTTAAAGAATACAACTGAGATTTAATGCAAGTAATATAAGTAAATCTTATATTAGCTAGAAATAACATTGCCACAATATGTAACATCTCTTCCTCTCCCTTCCTTTCATTTTGGTTTACTTCTAATTCCACTGCCCTTTTTAATTCTTCCGTCTTCTCATTCCCTCTGACGATTGAAATCCTAAAAGACAACCTTTTGTCATTGAAGACAGATTTCCTTTCCAGTCCCTGCCAGAGAGTAAAATACCATACCTTGTGTAACGCATTATCAAGTTTAAATGAAACAACTTAGATAGAATGCATGTTCCACAAATAAATTTTACGTTGAAAATATTATAAATAAAATTTAATATACGTAAAAAAAGTTTTGTTCCAATTTTTGACGTATTTTGACTTACCATTTCGTATCAGCTTGTGTTTCCTCATTTTTCTTCAACATCTTTTTTAATTTCTTCAGCTAGTTTTTAACAATTTTTAACAACTTTCAAAACACAACCTACAGTCAAGAATTCCAAACAGAAAATGAATCTTATAATGATTTTTGCTTAGTGTTTATTAAACTATTTTGCTACAATGAATACTTTTATAGCTAATAATCTTTGCTACTTTAGACTGTAACTGTTAAACGATATCATTAGCTTTGTTGAAACAACATTGTACGAAAAAAAAGAAAATTAAAAAAGATTTCAACAGTCTTTGTTAGAGTGCGAATTTATTTATTTGTCAGAAAAACGTAAAACATAATGAAATTTGATATTCCTAGATTTGCTACTTCACTCTGCACAGTTAGAACTTTATCAGGATGTTCCAATATATTTTTAGATGTTAAGTAAAAATATTCATAAATGAGTGATGGATTTCAAATTAATATAGATAATGATTTGTAAGATTTGTATCAAGGAAATCGTTTTTTACCTACATTTATTAATATGAGTTAATCTTTTATTTAATTTTACTTTACATAATGTTTGCAAATTACATGTTAAATATTTTTTCCGTAAATACATATTTCTATTTGGTAACTTTATCATTATATCCTAGAGCATGGCATAAAAACAGTTTATTTTGTTAAATTTACTCTTCATTTCTGTAGGTTTTAAAAATGTGTAGTAATGAGAACTATAATTTAAAAAACCAGATTTTCCGATTGACAGTTACTAAAAAACTACCAAATGAATGTTTCAAATAGCACCTATTTTGTGTTTATTACCAGTATTATTTTTTTAAAAAGATAAGCTTTTTGCCATAGACTATGTTAATTTTACCAGATTTTTTTTAATTCTGGTAATATCTACCTACTAAATATATTTTCGAACAAAGATAATGCATTTTGACACTGCTTTTGAATTTAAGCTATACAATTACACTGTTATCAAGCATTTCAGATTTCCAAAAACCTTTATAATATTTGCTTTTCAACTTGTCTCAGTTTCCTTCTGTAATCAAACGCACTTTCATTGCATGAATATTTATTACATTGGACATGGACGGCATTTTATAGAACATCTTGTGTATCCAATTTTTTGGCAAACTCAGAAGTATAATTTTAAGGTTTTGCATATGCTGTAAAACCATTTTGTTCATGACACAGGAGAATTTGTAGCCGATGGATGGTAGCGGATGGTATCAGATCAAAGTTAAACCGCGAAACAGAAAATTTTATACCGCTTAATTTCAATCTTAAGTTCTTCAAATTTAAGAAAAAAATTATGTTATCCTTTAAAGGCAAAATTTTCATCCATCGGAACAAAATGAAAATTTTTGCATTTCTTAGATGGATACAAACATCCATGGAAAATCTTATTAGTCCGTATTCTGTAATTTAATTCCTATTTTGTCAACTCGAGACTGAAAGATTTAAAAAAAAAAAATGGTAGTGAAATGAGATAGTATAATGAAAAATGTGATAAATGTGACTCTTTTGTTTATTACTTGAACAACATAGAATGGGGTTTTAATATTACCTAGTACTATGATTGTAGTACCTTGTACCTTGTTCTATGATTTCGGTTCTAAGCGATATCATCGTAGATATACCATCTAAGAAATTTCGTCTTAGAGATGTCATCTATATTCTAAGACATATCATTGACTCATTTTGTAAGGACAATCTAAAACATGTTAACTGGTTAATGGGCTTTTTATTAAATCGCCACCTGAAACAAATACAAATGATGACATAGCTTCGGCTATGTCATCAGTTAAAGCTAAATGAGCACGTTTTTATTAGGTCGCTTGCATGTTAAGTAAATTAAAACAAATGTAAGCATTAATGGAAACATTAGTTTAAAGTACCAACTCAGAATAATATGGTGAAAGAGTATATGGTGAATACTTTAGAAAGACGGTTCCTCGGTGTAAGTACAAAACTGATGAATCAGATTTTTTTAAGAAAAATGGCTTTTAAATAATTGGTGAATTGTGAAAATAAAATAAAAAATTTAGTTTTAAAAACAATAAATTGGAACAAAAGTTCAACCAAGGTTAGAAAATAGTAGAACAGCACTTGAAATATAATGCTTGTTAAGGGATCATAAAATCAGTAGCTACTGGTACTTATGAAAATAATCCTTTGAGAAACATAAGTTAAGCCTGAATTGTCGGCAATTTTATCAATTTTCTACATATTATGTTTGTATTAAAAATAATTATAGCCATTGTGCCATCACTATTCTCGACTTTTCAATCGGGTAATCACATATTAAATTGAAAATGCTATATTTGAAATGGAGCATTTTAAATATGATAATTTTCTTATTCAGAAAATATAATTATAATTATCTAAATATATAATTGTTCTAAATAAACGTGTGATTATATTTTATGACCCTCAAAATATGGGTTTACTTAATATGGGTCCTTAAAATATGACTCTTAGTATAAAGTTAGTAAAAGCGATCTAGGTTTCAAGCACATTGCTTTTTTTGTATTTCAATTTGGCTGGAAAACTATCAGTATGATTTGAGAAATGTTTGCTTGCAACTGTAACCCGTTTTTCTCAAAAATAATCTGTTACAAAAATAATTTTAAGTAAGCAATACTTACTTTTTGTTATTTCATTTTAATTTGTTATTTCATTTTAATTTTGTTATTTCAATTTAATTTTAGAGCAATACTTTTGCTTTGCGTTAAATTTTACCAGTTCTTATACTGTGTAGAAAATTTTATCAAAGTCCAAAGAAAAAAAGACAGGTAGTAGTATTATAAGTGCAGAATTAAAATTTCTTGGCACATGCCATAAAAATTATTTATTTAGTTAAATTTATTCTTCAGTTCTGTAGGTTTTAAAAATATGTGGTAATGAGAACTTCAATTTTGAAAACCAGAATTTCCAGTTACCGTTACTAAAAAAATATCAAATGAATGGTTTAAAACCCATGTTTGGTTTTTATTATAATAATTACGTTTTTTTTAAAAAAAAAATAGATAAGTAATTACCATGGACTACCGAAAATTTACCAGAATATTTTTCTCCCTGTAGTTTTTACCTGCTAAATATTTTTCCGAATAAAAAAAAAATTTTTTTTTTTGACGCTACTTTTGAGTTAAAACTCTAAAATTACACTGATATCAAAAATTTAAGATTTCCGAAAGCCTTTAAAATATTTGCCTTTCAACTTATTTTAATCTGAAGTTCCTGAAGTTAAACACAACAAGTATACAAAAATTTCATTCATTTGAAAGGAAAAGTTTTATATTTCTTAGATGGCTACAAATATCAAAAGAAATTCTGATTAGATTGTATTGTTCTATTTCATTCCCATTTTGACGATTCGAAACAGAAAGATTTTTGAAATTTTTTTAAAATAAAATGAGACAGTTTAATGAAAAATGTGATGATGTGATTTTTTTTATTGCTTGAAGAACACAAAATGTGGTTTTTATAAGAAACAGTCGTTCAATAATTTCGGCCAACGTCAGTTCTCAGATATCAATTGATAAGAGATATCATTGTTTATTTTCTGCTAGTATTGAATCATTTTGTAAGGATAGTCTAAATTCAAACATGAGGGCCGGGATATACTGGTTGGTAAGGCCCTGGGCCAATGTCCAAGAGTTCGTGGGTTCGATCCCAGACCTGCAGAAGACTCCTCGTGTAGTAAATGGTGAATGATGCACATTAAATCTGTTGAGGCGCAAAGTCCTCCATGTTCCCATAACAAATCAATACCTCTGGGGGTACAAATCCAGGAGTTTCCTTGTCTTCTGGATTGGTTCAAAATTACAAGGCTACGGAGTTGAACATTAGTAGTCGTAAACCCAAAATTGGATCAGCTGTTCGACGACGGTCATAAAATATAAAAAATAAAAATTGAAACATGTTAACTGGTGAATGGGCTTTTGTTAAATCTTTATCTGAAACAATCCAAGTGGTTACATAGCTTTGGAAGTTGCAGCCGAATGTAAATATTAGCACGTTTTGATTAGGTCGATAACAGATTAAGTAAATTAAAGTAAATATAAGCATTAATGGAAAGTATCAACGCAAAATAAAGTGGTAAAAAAGTATATGTGTGTTGTATAACGATGATTCTGGTTCTAAATACAAAACTGGTGAATTAGATTTTTTTTTTTTTGAAAAATGGCTCTGGAATAACTGGTAAAATGAGAAAAGAAAAAAGTTTAAATTTTAGAAGCAAAAGAAAAAAAAGATATCAAAGAAATGTTCAACCTAGGTCAGAAAACAGTAAAAAGGCAATTGAAAAATGATGTATGTTAGGGATCATAAAATCAGTAGCTACTGCAACTGCTGGCACTAATTCAGACTGGTACTAATGAAAATAATCCTTTGAGAAACATTAGTGAAGTCTAAATGGTCGACAATTTTATCAATTTTCTAATAGAGCTAAATAGCTACGGCAATTGCTGGCACTAATTCAGACTGGTACTAATGAAAATAATCCTTTTCAAAACATTAGTGAAGTCTAAATGGTCGACAATTTTATCAGTTTTCTAATAGAGCTAAATAGCTACGGCAATTGCTGGCACTAATGCAGACTGGTACTAATGAAGATAATCCTTTTCAAAACATTAGTGAAACCTAAATTGTCAACAATTATATCAATCTTTCACAGATTATGTTTGTCTCAAAAAAATTAATTCCGACCATCGACCAGTCACAATTTTCGGCGTTGCAATCGGGAAATCACATATTAAATTGCAAATGTTGCGTTTGAAGCTGTACGGTTTAAATACGCTAATTTACTAATTCGGGAAATATAAT